AATGAGCCCTGAAGCTCACATTACGCATAAAAAAGAGCATGCATATTTTTTGCAAAGGACCAATGAAACTGAAGAATAGTGTCCCTACCAAAGTTGAAATCAAACCTACGCCCTTGATACAAACAAAACAAGCTGGTAAAGTACCAAACAGGAAATACGCATAGTGTAGAGAGGAAGTAGATTTGGCCAGTCTGCGGCACTGACTGTGGTCACTTACAATTTTGGAGAGGTGCACCAGAGTGTCTTTGGAAGGGGCGGGGGCACATCTGCGTTAACAGCGACACACATGCAGATTACCTGGTTTCTGAGTATAAACCAGCCTTTAGGATCAATCAGTGTTCATATGATGTCCGAAGCAGACTGGAAAATCTTTGGCTAGCATGTTGCAAATCTCTGACAGTGCAGAAACATATGAGCTAATGAGGCTGTTGATTCACCGTATCTGAAATGCGCAGGAACGATACTAGTGTACATTCTGCAAAGATTAGATTAATCTGATTAATGAAGGAATTAAAACTGACAGTGCCCATGTCTCGCACAGACCGAAGAGGAGGGCAGCCAGAGTGCAGCTTATATGGGCTGTTTGCATCGCCCATACAAGCTTACTTTCCAGAAGAATATTTGCGATTTTTCCACTATATACAGACTCAGTACCGGTAAGTGAAAATGGGGACGAGAACTGATGGCGTTAAACATATCACTGCAATGATTAACATTTAGGAGGGCCACTTATTTTACTGATCCACCTGGAAAAAGAACATCCTCCACTATACCTTTAAGCATGTAGCTAAACATTCTGTGTCTAAGACACGTGTGCTTAAACTACAGTTAGGGCAATCTGGCTGTTACCTCCTACCTGTAGAACATTAGACTCTCAAACCAAATGCATCTATGTACATTATAGATCAAAACCTTAGGCACACCTTCTCATTCAAATACCCCATTTACACTACCCTTGAAAAACCGATCAATGCCGAGACCAGTCCAAGCTCGGATCAGTTAACCAGGCCGAGCTCGGTTCTGACGAACGTTTACACTTCATGCTATCTCGGTTCCTCGACTCTTCGCCTCCTAGTGATGATCTGCGGTATTACTGCCATTATTAAAGGAGGAAATCAAGCAGTTGGTGGCGGTAATGCACCAAAAGTTGTTTGCCAACTGCCATAAAGCACAAGAAGAAGAAGACGAAGAAGGGGGGAATCAAGCAAATAAAAATGTTGTGTGGAGAAGATTTCGATTGTTGTTTATAGTTGTTGGTCTTCTACTGTTTTGTGTTGGTTGGCAAGCAACTTCCTGAGAGGCATTACCGCCAACTACTAGAATGTGTTGGGATCTGGAGGTCTGTCCACTTTCTCCACCAGAGGGCGTACGAGATCTCCTGGAGCCGGGGCTGA